TGCGGTTTGTGACGAATGGCACTACTTCTTTTATTTAACAGGTAACGACGATGTTCAACTTTTTTCGTGATGTTCTCAAGTATGAATCTTGCCTACAAAAAAACAATACAATTAATATAACATCTTGTGGCATAGTGTTGTATAAGTTTGAGAACGTTGTAGAATTCATTTTTGNAAAANAAACGAAAATATACTAATAAAAAACCAGTTTATGTATTAGAAATAAAAACGAAATATGTTTAAACAAGTAAAAAGCAATGNACAAATACACAACAAAATTTGCAAATTTATATTTTTATATTTATAAAAAAAACCTTTACCATCTTCATATTATACGTATCGATCAGTTTTACAACATTCAGTTCTGCNGAAATCTGAAAAAACCTTTTGTTACTAATATTGACTTTGATGACTTATATTACGCAAAATTCTTATACATTGCGTATATTTTTTTATTATACTAAACAAAAAAAACTACACATATATATACAATACTATTATACTTTTAGTACGCACGCGTGCTTATATAAATATGTATTTGTTAGTGTCAAAGCCCGAAGAACCGGCAATCTTAAGAGTTACTAGTCAATACACANAGAAACTAAACGTTTTGGCTACAGTCCGAAATAGTTTTGTTTTTCGATTTTTGACTGTTGTGTTTTTAGTCAATCGTAGGCGTAACTAACACGGCTGGTTAAGATTGAAATCTAAAAAAACTTNGTTTTATCACTTTGAAATTTGACTAGTCAATCCTAGGTGTGAATTAATTCCACTTTGGACTGTGAAAAAATAACACCAAGATATTTTAATAATATTTTTATTATTACCATAACGGTTTTATTATTAATGTTAACATTACTTTTGTAACTCTTTTACCTTAAATCGTAATTTAAGTAAACTTAAATTACATTTTAAAGTAAAGGAGTTACAAAAAAAGTAAACTTGTATTATAATTTAAGGTAAAGCATTTACAAAACATTAAATTTACATAAATTACATTTTAAATATGACCCACAAGTTTGTAATAAAAATCCCAGAAAATACATATTTAATGTTAAATTGACATCAAAGAAATGACTAGTCACAATTCAAAGTGGTAATCCAAAGTGTTTTTAGTTTTCACCTTTAACCAGCCGTGTTATATAGTCTTACGATTGCCTAAATCCACACTTAAAATCCGAAAAACAAAACTATTTCGGATAGTGGCGAAAACGTTTGGTTTTTCAGCGCATTGACCAGTCAATCCTAAGATCGCCGGTGCTTNAAGCATTGACGCTANCATATATATATGATTTATGTTTTACATTTACAGCAACAATAAACAATTAAGTTCACACATCATACCTTTACAAGATTTTCTTCTGAATAAGTGTTGTTAATAAT